AGAACCTATGATCCATGACTGCCTGGAGACTACCAAAGCTACCTACTCCAGAGACCCAGATCTGAAGGACATCCTTCTCAAGGACACTGAGACCTGGTTCACTGATGGAAGCAGCTCCGCCATCAGCGGAAAAAGGCAAGCTGGGTATGCAGTTACCACAAGCCAAGAGGTAATAGAGTCTGGATCATTACCAACCAACACCTCGGCACAGGAGGCTGAAATAATTGCCTTAACCCGGGCTTTAGAGATGGCAAAAGGAAAGAAAATCAATATTTACACAGACTCAAGGTATGCATTTGGGGTAATCCTTGTGCATGGAGCTATCTAGAAGGAAAGTGGACCGTTGAACTCACAAGGAAAAAGCATCAAACATGCACAAGAGATAATAAAACAGTTGGAGACAATCCAGCTACCTGAAAAGGTAACCATCATGCACATCAAGGCACACCAAAAAGTGAGCTCTGTAATGGAGGAAAGAAATGAGCTGGCAGACAGACAGGCAAAAGAACCAGCTAATGGTGAGGTAATTGTTGAGACAGTTGAGGCAGCCTCAATCCCAGATGGACAAATTTCTATTGAAGGTAAGCCAAGATACAGTAAAAAGGAGAAGAGGCTTATTGAGAAAGAAAACTGAAGTTATATATAAAGAGGAGTGAACTGTTACAGAAGAAGGAAAAGGAAGGCTTGTGATCCCCTCTTATATGCTGTGGTCAGTGAAAGAGGAACATGAGAAAACACACTGGGGAATAGATGCCTTGTATAATCACTTGAAAGATGGAATCCTAACCAGAAACTTGCAAAAAGTACAGTGATTCAGGTAATTCGCCAATGTAGCCTTTGCCACCAAATTAATCCCAAAAATATTCCTAAACCAAAGCTTGGGCAAATTGGAAAAGGATATGGACCTGGGCAACAATGGCAAATTGATTTTTCAGAACTGCCCAGGAGAGGGGGGTATCGATTCCTATTGGTGTTAACAGATACCTTTTCAGGGTGGCCAGAAGCTTTCCCTAGGGGAACTACCAAAGTGCAGGAGGCAACCAAAGCATTGTCACAGGAAATAATACCGTGTTTTGGAGTCCCAGCCACAATGTCTTCAGATAGGGGGCCACATTTTATTTCAAAAATTGTGCAGCAAATTAGCCCCCATTTAAGCATAGACTAGGAACTTCATGCTCCATATCATCCTCAGTAAAGCGGTCAAGCGGAGAAAACGAATCCTTTGATTAAGCAGCAAATAATGAGACTGGGACAAGAGGTGAAGTTGCCTTGGCCTCAGGCTCTTCTATTAGCATTATTACGAATCCGGACCAAACCAAGAGTAAAGGAAAAACTGAGTCCCTTTGAAATACTGTATGGAAGGCCATATGGATATCAAGAAGGTACAGCACCCACTCAAGTAGGGGAAGAAACCCTACACAGATATGTGATGGCCCTAAACAAACAACTTAGAGAAATTGAGAAACGCGGCTGGGGCTCGAAGCAGAGAATTAGATGGACCTGTACATGATGTACAGCGTGGATTATGTATATGTTAAGGCTTTTGCAGAAAAGACTCTGGAACTGCAGTGGGAGGGACCATTCCAAGTGCTCCTCACAACTTTTACTGTAATCAAGATTAAGGAACAAAGTGCCTGGATCCATCATTCCTGAGTGAAGAAGGCTCCTGAGGGACTCTGGAAAGGTGTGCCAAGTAACAACAAACTGAAATTAAAACTTTCTTGGGAAAATAAATAGGGTGTAGGTGAAATGCTAAGCATAGTTGAAGAATGGAAAAGTTTATAGTTATAATGGATAATCAAATAGGTGTAGCCTGGAGAGTTGTGGCATTTGTGATTATCACTATAGCCACAGCTAATGCAGCACTGCTGGTATGTAATGTGACTGGTATGTGTAAGTGCCAAGGGAAAGCCTATGACTCCAACCCATGTAAGTCTCTGGGTCAGATGCTAAGAGTGACAAATGCAACTGTGTGGGAAGGGAAAGATATTTGGGGATGTGAATATGTGTTTGTCCAGGATGGGTTTAATAAATTTTATCAAAAACCCATGAAACTTATTCTGATTGTTCCTGACTGCTGTGACAAAGGCTTAGCCGATTGTCCAGAGTTTAGACTCAAAATAGAAGGTTGTGCAATCAAGGATTTTAAGATTGATTATAATTTAACTCAATTTTGTACTGTTTCCCAAATGGATAAGGTTAAAATAACTCAACCAGTGCCAACACTGAGAGAAACCATGGCTACTCAAATCACTTTAGAACCCATGGTTTTCCCATAATTTCCAAAATTGGAACATATGCTGTCAAGAAGACTGGAATTCAAAAATTGCTAATTAATCCAAAGTGGTCATTGAAACAGGTAGAGATGGCAATGCAGGTGAATGCCTCTGCCATTCAGCCTGTGTGCTCCAGTTTTAAGGACCTCTTTTATGGACTGGACTACCTGGCTGCAGAATAAGCCTTATATGCCCAGACAGAAGAAAGACCCTACTGGATTATTGGGAACAGGACTAGGAGTTCTAAATACAATGAACTCAGAAGTACTTATGTACAAACTGATAGCACTTGGCAGTGATATGGTTAAATTACAACAATTCTTACAGTCCTCCTTGTTGGCATTAAGTACCAGTCAGTGGAAATTGTCCAAAATATTACCAGAATGGGAAAATGTGGAAGAAGGAGATAATCAATAGATAATTAATACCTTAGGCACACCTAGCAAGAACATTTCTTTGACTCTTGGGTGTACACAGGCACAATTGTGGATGCAATCAGTGGTGGCCTCAGTCATTAGGGATGGGGAGAAGGCATATTCCTTGCCAAAATTTGTAAAGTTGTTTGGGATAGTGCCCCAGGTTTAGAAAAAGGAACTTCAGTCCTGGTGGGTTTTAGTTAGTTTTACTTATGATCCCATGACAAATATGGTAACAGCTTTTGTTTTAACCATACATGATGCACCAGTGAGCTTGATATATCCGATTGTTCCTTTAGGGCTAAATTACCAGGGGACCATGCTATGTCCTTTTGAACACAGAATGTGGGGACGAAAGGTTGAAGGAAGGTGGTGAACTATTAACTTAGAACCTTGCTCAATGAGGGGACAACTGGTGTGTATATGTGAAGGCAACGTAAGTGATTATAAAGATATTTGTTTGGATATAAAGTAAAGCATTTGTCACTTTGAAATGCGTCCCATGAACCAGACGGCAATAGCTGGAACCTGCGGGATGTCCTGGCAGGGCAGGGGAATGTGGGGCCCAGCAGCAGAAGAAAGGTTCTCCGCTGGGTTGTGGTGGTGGCAGCGAATTCCTTTTCACAAGCGGCAGGTGGGACTGTCCTCCTCCGAAGCCCAGGAGAGAGAGAGCGTCCCCAGCTGCCCGGTCTTTTTTCCTGCTTGTACCTCTGTCGTTCCCCCCTCCCCACTGTCTTAAGCACACAGCCATTAGTGCTTCTTAGCAACTCAATGGGAAAAAAATCCACAAGTAATAAGGAAAGGAAAGAAAAAAAACCAACCCCCAACAGCTGCGCTGGCGTCTCGCTGCGCGGCTTTTCCGCGGCTCTCTCTGCGCCCCGTGGTTTTCTGTGTGGCTGAAAAGCTTTTTCGGGCCAGGCAAAGAAAGGATTTTCCCTTTCCTCGGTCGGGAGAGGCTGCAGCGCGAGCCTGGGAGTGCCCGGGGCGCGCTGAGCAGCGGCTGTGCCGGAGCCCGGGCCCCGCGGGCAGGAGCGGAGCGGCGCCGCTGCCGCCCGAAGCCGCTGCGAGCCGGGCCGGGCCGGGCCGGGCCGGGAGAGAAAACAGCCCGAGGCTGCGGCGCCGCCGCTCCACCCGCCGGGACCGCGCCCGCGGAGCGCGGCCGGGGAGGAGCGCAACGCCGGGCGAGCCCCGGGCTCGTATCGCCTTGGGACAGCCCCTGGTTGGCTTTTCCCTGCGGGAGAAACCGGTGCCGCCTGTAGCCCGTGCCGTGAGCGGGGATTTCTCTGGCATTTTGGGTCTTTTGTCCCACGGTGTGTGGCAGGTAAGGTCTGGCAATTTAATACCTAGCAGTTATTTACTTTTAAAAATTAATATTCTTGCCTTGTGGGCATTCTGTCTGTTAATAAACTGTTGGAGTTTTTTTTTTCAGTTTCATCTATTAGCATTCATTTCCTGTTGGTGGAAAGAGATTACTGGAACCCTGTAGAGGGGACAACACTCACCCCAGAGTGTCCTCTTTTAAATCGTCTCTCAAGCTGAGACACCCTACAAGTGCTATGAATGTGGAATGAGCTCCAGCCAGAGCTTCCACCTGATCCGGCACCAGGAGATCGAAACCAAGGAACATCCCTGCTGGGGCTTGGGATGTGGGAAGGGCTTCATATGGAAGTCTGACCTGGTTACCCATCATAGGATCCACCTCAGGGAATGGCCCTACAGGTTCTTGGAATTCGGGCAGAGCTTCCAGTAAGAACTCCCACCTCATCAAGGTCAACCAGATCCCCACCGGGCAATGGCGCTGTGAGTGTGGGGAGTGTGGGAACGGCTTCAGCCCGAGCTCCAAGCTCGTCACCTGCCAGTGCATCCACACCAGGGAGAGTCCCTGCAGGTGTCCCCAGTGCGGGATCCCCAGTGACCCCCGCTGGGCAGAGCCCTGGCAATCCGTGGTCCTGGCGATCCCTGTTGGGTGGGGGGAAGGTGTTGGAGAGATTTCTTTCTCTTCTCCTTGTCCTGCTGTGATTTGGTTGATAATAAATTTACTCCCTGTGCCCAGGCTGGGTCTGTTGCGCCCGTGCCGGTTCTCGGAGGGGGATCTCTCCCGATTTTTCTTCCAGCCCCGGGGCCTCTCCTCAGCCATTTAGAGAGCTAATCAGAGCGCGCCGCGCTGATGATTCCCCGGTTGCCGGGCGGTCCCACAGCGCCCAGAGCTCCTCACCTGGACTCCACCCGTGCTCCGCCTCACCCCCAGCCTCCACCGCGAGGGGAATTTGGGCAGGCGGGAGGTGTCAGAGCCTGCGCGGCCCCGGCCATGGGGCGAGGGGCGGCAGCTGGGGCCCTGCTGGTGGCACTGGTGGCGCTGGGAGCCCCCCCGGCTGCGGGCGCGGAGCTCTCGGGTGAGCGGGGGCAGGGAAGGGAAGGGAAGGGAAGGGAAGGTGGGAACGGTGGGGAGTGGAGGGAAAAGGGGGAGGTGGGACCCTCAAATTGATGTGGGGGGTCTTGCTGGCAGGAGGAGTTATGAAAGGGGGGGAGGAAAATACGGAGAAGAGTGGGAAAGAGGAAGAGGGGCCGCGGGAACAAAGGGCCTACAAGGGGTGGCACGTGGCGCACACGGCGTCCAGAGTGTGGATCCGGGGTTGCCTCTGAGATCTTGGTTTGCTGTGGGGTGCTGGGGGCTGCTGGAGGGGCACCCTCTGACCTGTGTCCTGCACACATAGGAGTGTTCCAGGAGATGGTTAAGTCCGAGTGTCACTTCATTAACGGCACCGAGCGGGTGAGGTTCGTGAAGAGGTTCATCTACAACCGGGAGCAGTACGTGCACTTCGACAGCGACGTGGGGCACTTTGTGGGGGACACCCCATATGGCGAGGAGGTTGCCAGGTACTGGAACAGCGACCCGGAATGGATGGAGCACAGACGGGATGCGGTGGACAGGCACTGCCGACACAACTACGAGTTGTCCACCCCGTTCCTCGTGGAGCGCCGAGGTGAGCGTGGGGCAGAGCGTGTACCCTCGGACCTGCCCTGCCAATGACCCTGGAGCCCCTCAAACCTCCCTGGGAATAACCCCAGACATGTCAGCCCTTCCTGTGCCCATTCCCCTGGGCTCTTGCCCACCCCGCAGTGTCCCGGAGCTCTCCCTATCTCTCCCAGTCCATCCCAGTCTCTCCCAGTCCATCCCAGACTCTCCCAGTGCCCCCCGCGTGTCCATCTCGACGGCCCGTGGAGCTGCCCCAGCCAATCAGAGTGCGGCTCTCTGATGATTCATCAGTTGCCAGGCAGACCCGCAGCCCCCAGTGCCCCGCGCTGGACTATGCCTCCCAGTGCCGCGCTCTTCATTCCCAGTTCCTTCCAGTGCCACAGAAATCCCTCCCAGTGCCAGGCGCTTCATTCCCAGTCCCCCTCAGTTCATTCCCATTCCATTCCCAGTCCTTCTCGGTCCACTCTCAGACTTCCATCCTCTCTCCCAGTGCCCTCCCCAGCATTCTCCAACCCCCTCCCTGTCCCTCCCCGGTCCCTCTCAGTGTTACCCGAGTCCTTCCCCGTGTCTCCCATTTTACCCGCATTTTATCCCAGTGTCTCTCCACACTCTCCCAGTGCCCCCCAGCGTGTCCATCTCGCTGGTGCCCCCCTCGAGCTCCCAGCCCGGCCCCGGCCGCCTGCTCTGCTCCGTGATGGATTTCTACCCTGCTGCCATCCAGGTGAGGTGGTTCCAGGGCCAGCAGGAGCTCTCGGAGCACGTGGTGGCCACCGACCTGGTCCCCAACGGGGACTGGAGCTACCAGCTGCTGGTGCTGCTGGAAACACCGCCCCGGCGCGGGCTGAGCTACAGCTGCCAGGTGGAGCACGTCAGCCTGGAGCAGCCCCTGAGGCGGCACTGGGGTATGGCCTGGCCCCCAAAGTGCCAGGGGCACCGGGAGAGGCACTGGGGGGGCTGAGAGGGGAGTTGGTGGTAGCTGGGATTAATTGGGAGGGAGTTTGAGGGAGGCAGAGGGTATCTGGGAGAAGGGTTTGGATGGCCTGGGAGGTCAGAGAAGAGTTTTGGACGATGTTGGGAAGACTGGGATGCAGTTAAGGGTTTCCTGGTGGCTTCTGAAAGGGAACATCCTGGTGGTGCTTGATGTAACTGGAAGGGAGTCTGATGGAGCTGGAGGGGCTGGAAGCAGGTTGGGGATGTAAAAACGGGGCTGGGATGAGGGTTGAGTGTGCTTCAGTCTACTGGCAGTGATGTTGGTGAGTGCTGGTGGGACTGGGAAAAGGTTTGGGGGGTCATTGGAAGATGAGTGTCAACTGGGAGGGGGTTTGGGGTCCTGGAGGGGTGGGGAGGGGACTTGGGTGGTACTGGGGAGGTTGGATGGGGATAGGAAAGAGGTTTTGTGGTCTTGGGTGGGCTGGAGGGGTATGAGGGTGCTTGGAGGGGCTTGAGGTGTTGGTGAGAGGTTTTGGGGGTGCTGAGCCCTGCGGACCCCCCAGAGATGCCGCCGGACGCCGCCCGCAGCAAGATGCTGACGGGCATCGGGGGCTTCGTCTTGGGCTTGGTCTTCCTGGCGCTGGGGCTCGGCTTCTCCCTGCGCAAGAAGGTCAGGGCGGGTCCCGCGGGTCGTGTCCCCCCGTCCCCCGGAGTATGTGCGCTCCCGCCGGGGCCCCCAGCCCGGTGTCACCCCCTTTTCTCTGCCCACAGAGCTCCTGAGCCGCCGGTGGCCGCAGCCCCTCCCCGTGGGCTCGGGCCCGGCCGGGACCCCCCGCTCCGTCCCCGCTCCGCTGATTTTGGGGGGATCCCGTGTCTCCCCCAGCCCCACTGGCGCTCTGCCCCTGCCCAGCTGCTCCCAGTGTTCCCAATAAAGCTTCCCTGTTCACCCTGATCCCACTTAGGGGGGAGCTGTGTGGAGGAATTTTGGGGGAACCCACAGGGGTACTGTGATGGGAGGGGGCAGAATCAGCCCCGAGATGGATCAGGAATGGGGACGCCTGTGAGTCCCCTGCGTGTCACCCCACACTGGGTGCTGGGAGCCCACCCTGGCTCTGGGTGAGGAGCTCTTGGGTGAGAGGGGGAGCAGCACAGGGAAGATGGGAGAGGTGTTTGGGAGGGGGGTAGGAGGAGGGAGGACAGTGGCAAAGGGGTCCCCTGGGAGTCCCTTCCTGTCCCCATCACAGGATCTCTGGAGCTGATCCCTGGGGTTCTGTGGTGGGGGAGGGGGGGGTGTAAGCAGAACCGTGCTGGGGGGCCCCCAACTCCCCATCCCTCCCGGGGGGGCTGACAGTGGGGGTGACCCCAGCCAGCAGCCGGTGCTGTGGGGGCTGTGGGGCACAGGGGGTGGGAATGGGGGATCCAGGGTGGTCCCTTGAGCCCCCAACCTGCTGTGGGCTGATGGGGTCTGTTGGGGCTGAGGGGAGGCACCCCCTCACCTGTCTCCTTTCCCACACAGGTGTGTTCCATTTTTGGGGAAAAGCCCACTGTCACTTCCCCAATGGCAACAACTGGGTGAAGTTTGTGAACAAAGAACATCCACAAGTGGGAGTAATTTGGGCTCAGGAGATACCCCAAAGTTTTGAGGTGGGATTGAGTTGTTTGGAGGTGGAGTTGAGCCATTTTCAGTGGGATGGAGTCGTTTAGAGGCCCCACCCATCGCTCTGGGGTCTTGGGGAGCAGAGCTGTGAGGGACTGGAATGTCCCGGGTTAATGGCTGGGACTATGGCAGAAGCAGAGGGGGCTCTGCTGGCCACGGGCGTGGGCAGTGCCCGGGGCACAGGGGGTGAGCAGCCAGCCCCCGACGGGACGGGCTGGGCTGGAGCCAGGGAAGGGCAGAGGCCGATCAGCAGCAGATGCTGCCAGGCGGGACAGGGCCGGCCATGGAGAGACAGGGAAGGCTGATGCAGTGATCAGAATCCCATTTTATTGTGGGATTCAAACCCTTATATACTATTTCAGGGAGACTAGTAATGTGTCCTACAATGATTAGGTTAAAATCACATACACAAACGTATGCATATGACAACATCTCTTCCTTGCAGAGCTTAATGGGATTTTCTTTTTCCGGTAAACCCGTTTGATTGAATCTTCTTGCAATCCAGGTCTAATTTTCAAAGTTCCATTTGTTTTTCCCAAGGCAGCCTGTTATCCAATCTCTTATGTTAACCAGGTCCAAAGTGCATCATCTGTCTTGTGTCCCGCCACGTTCCAACAGGACAGGGCTTTGGAGCAGGGCAAGGCCCTCCCTGGCACAACTGGCTCAGCTCTGGGAACTCCCCGGGGAAGGCCCGGGACATTCACACAGAGGGCTGGAGGTTTGCACCCCTTCCCATGGGCCACACCTGGCTCAGCTGCGCTGCTGGGAGAGGCAGGGCCGCATCTCAGAAGGGGCCATAAACCATCAGAGCCCTGGGATCCGCAGCGTGACATCCGACAGTGTAAAACTCCCGCCAGAGGAGGGAGCTGGGCATTCACCAAACCTGAACCTGTGCTGACTCTCAGAAAGAACTTGGTGTTTCTGGGGCTTTTCCTGCCCCCAAGGGATCCATCCTGGGACCATCACTTAGACCAAAGACAAGGACATTGCAGCAATCTATTTTTGTTGCTGGGTCCAGAGCTGGTGCCTGTGTGTCTTTCTACTCTTATCCTTCCCTTCTTTTCCCTTATAAGTTTTCCTAAGTGTTATTTTAATGCTTCCATATTGCTAGAGATGGTAACCAAAAAGGGCTCCAAACCTGCTTTACATGGCAAAGAAACTGTTCTAAAACAAACCAAACAGACATATATTTACAAACACAGATCAATCACTGTTGTTTCTCTTTGATCTGTGCCAGGGATCCATGAACCAGAACCTGGGTTATTGTGGTGGTTTGACCAGGAAGAAGTGAGAATTCTGAGATGCTGTAGTCAAACCAATGGGTGCTCGGATTTTGATATTGGCACCTGATGTGGCCAGTTGGGTTTGGACACACCTCTGAGAACACACAGGGGTTAAAACCAGAGCTTCAGCCCTGGGAGGCTCTCTTGGGACTTCGAGGGACGGAGGTCGGACTTCCCTTCCCCCATCCAGCTGCTGCTGCTGGGTGGGGGAGGGGCAGCCATGCGGTAGGCCTGGGCCTGGACAGAGATGGGAGGTGAGGAGGCCCTTGAGGATGGAAGGGTGGAGGAGCCCCAAGAGACATCGGGCAGCCACTCCCCCCCCAGGAGAGAGAGAGGGAGAGCCGAATGTGATAGCAGCTGGCCCAGGAGGAGAAAGGGGGGGAGTGCAGCGAGAAGGTGGCTGGCTGGAGCAGCAGCGAGTGTGAGAGTGCCGAGTGTGAGAGTGCCGGAGCTCTGGGGCAGACAGAGACTGAAATTTTTAACCCTTTTTCTTACACGATTGAGACCCTGCAAAAATGCTAATCCTCCTCAGAGCTGAATAAGAAGAGAGATAAGAGATGAGATGAGACAAAGACCTAGCCCGACAGATGTAGAAAAGCCTGGCTGAGTGGGGAGACATGATTAGAGTAGCCTTTTAACTAGACTTTTCTTGTGTAGCCATAAACTCAGTTTTATTCCTATAACACAGAGACTGCATTTAAGAAGCAGTGCCTCAGAACCAAGAAAGTTCATTGTGCGGACCCCTCGGCCCCAGAGAGTTAGAAAAAAATGGGAGAGACAGATGTCCCAAAACAGAGACTGTACCTTTTTTGAGTGAGACAAAGCATCCTTAAAAGACAACCCTAAAAGCAGCTCTAGTCCATACACAGTAGTGAGAGCACTGGGCATAGAAAGAAAATGTCACAAGCAGCAAAAAAAACTTTTTCCAGGCAGTGCTGAGTAACATAAAAGCACACGAAGTTTCAGCGTGTTTCCAAGAGAAGCCTATAGTGCAAGAAAGACTCCTCTCCTCTTTATGGACTGAAATTTGAATATTCTAAAAAGTAGTGCCAGACTGAGCAGTTAGTGATTTGGGGGAATGTATCAAGTTGAGAAATTTTAGTAGTGGAGAAGAAGAAAGTGTTTTTGTAAAGTTTTCAATTTTTCCCTTATAATTTTTTTCCCTCTTTTCCTGTAGTTTAAGTAATAAAGTTTTCTTTATGTTTAAGCTACAGCCTGCTTTGCTTATTCCTAGTCACATCTCACAGCAGACACCAGAAAAAGAGTATACTCATGAAAGCACTAGCTCTGTACCAAGCCCAAACCATGACAGTTACCCTCGCCTTTGGGTGTGGATCAGGACAGGAGCCAAACATGGGGGAAGCTTCTGGAAGCTCCTCACAGAAGCCATCCCTGGAGCACCCCTGTTTCCAGCACCTGATCACACAAACCCAATACAGTCCCAGCATGGATTACCAGGAACATGGGTCACCAGGTCTCTGCCCAATGGGGCTCACTGTGGATCATCCAGCATGGCTCTTCCAATGGGCAATGGAGTTGGAGCAGTGTTTGAAGCCCTTCCCATACTCGGGGCACTCACAGAGGTTCCCTTTCCAGTGAATCCATTGGTGTAAGGTCAAGGCAGGGCTCTGGGTGAAGCTTTTCCCGCAGTCAGGACACTGCTAGGGCCAGTGTGGATGTTCTGGTGGTGAATCAGGTGGGAGCTCTGGCTGCAGCTCCTCCCGCACTCCCCACACTGGCAGAGCCATTCCCTGGAGGGCAGGCGCTGGTGGCTGGTGAGGTCAGAGTGGTCACTGAAGCTTTTCACACATTCCCTACACCTGTAGGGCTGCCCTCCCATGTGAATTATCCCATGGTGGGTTGATGGGGTCTCTGGTGTCAAGATGACCCCGAGGTGTTAGAAAGTCTCTTTTTCTCAGCTCCAAGACTGAAGAAGACAGGATTCCTTGGCTCTCATTCTCAAGGTTGTTTATTTTTTATTATTTATAAAATTTTTTCTCTGACTTGCTGAGATCTGTTTGGCACATTGGTTCATTGCACATTGACTGCTTTGGGGCCGTGTTATCTTTTTTATACTAAAAACTATGTGTACATTACTTACAATAATTTTCTAGTAGTTATCACCTATGTTAGACACTTTGCCTCTACTCTAAACCAATCTAAAACTGCTACTATCACAGCAGAATATGGAGGCAAAGAAGAAGGAGGAGAAAGACTGGACATGCTCAGATTTTTCTATATCTTGCTTCCTGAACCCCCATTCTAAAAACCTCAAAATTCTACATTTTTCACGCGGTGATAAATTTACTAGCATTTTACTCAAACCTTTGTGGCTTGTAACTACTCGCACAAATTTGGTTAAGTGTTTCTATGGGTTAAAATCGAAGGCACAGGTGTCTTTGACTCCGTGCCAAGGTCTCTGAGCCTCCAGGGCAGTCGGAGCAATTTCTTGGGTTCCGACAGTGGATCAGACAGGAGCTCTGGCTAAAGCTCTTCCCACATTCCAAGCACTTTGAGGGCCGTTCCCCCACGTGGATCTTGTGGTGCCAGATCAGGTAGCAGCTCCGTCTGAAGCTCTTGCCACGTTCCAAGCACCTGTAGCACACCTCCCCAGTGTGAAACCACTCGAGGACCACCGGGTCCGAGCTCTGGATGAAGCTTTGGCCACCTTCCTGACACAGGATAGGTCTTTCCTCCCTGGAGCACTGTGGGCTGTGTTTGGAGATGCTCCTCATGGGACACCACTGTAGCTTCTCCTCCTCGTTGTATGCTTGTGCCATGGAGTCACTCGAAATGGCCTTTCCACGAGGTTCTGATGCAGGGATTTGTCCTCCCTGGTGTCTGTCAATGCCTGGAGAAGGAAAGAGAGGAG